CCTCTTACACTGTTGGTGGGAATGCAAGTTGGTGCAGCCTCTTTGGAGAACAGTGTGGAGATTCCTCAAGAAATTAAAAATAGAGCTTCCCTATGACCCTGGCATTGCACTACTGGGTATTTACCCCAAAGATACAGATGTAGTGAAAAGAAGGGCCATCTGTACCCCAATGTTTATAGCGGCAATGGCCACGGTCGCCAAACTGTGGAAAGAACCAAGATGCCCTTCTGCGGACGAATGGATAAGGAAGATGTGGTCCATATACACGATGGAGTATGATGCCTCCATCAGAAACGATGAATACCCAACTTTTGTAGCAACATGGACGGGACTGGAAGAGATGATGCTGAGTGAAATAAGTCAAGCAGAGAGAGTCAATTATCATATGGTTTCACTTATTTGTGGAACATAACAAATAGCATGGAGGACATGGGGAGTTAGAGAGGAGAAGGGAGTTGGGGGAAATTGGAAGGGGAGGTGAACCATGAGAGACTATGGACTCTGAAAAACAATCTGAAGGGTTTGAAGAGGTGGGAGGGGTAGGAGGTTGGGGGAACCAGGTGGTGGGTATTAGGGCACGGACTGCATGGAGCCCTGGGTGTGGTACAAAAACAATGAATACTGTTATGCTGAAAATAAATTAAAGAAAATGATTAAAAAAATGAATGTATATACCAAGCCAAATAAATAAATAAATAAATAAAATAGATATAGTAGAGGTAAGAAAAAAAAAAAAGAATGCTTGGATCAACCAGGAAATCAAAGAAGAACTTGAACAATTCATGGAAACCAATGGGAATGAAGACACATCGGTCCAAAACCTATGGGATACAGCAAAGGCAGTCCAAAGGGGGAAATACATAGCCATCCAAGCCTCCCTCAGAAAAATTGAAAAATCCAGAATACACCAGCTCTCTTTATACCTTAAAGAACTAGAGAATCAACAATAAATTAAGCCAACACAAGAAGGGAAATTATCAAGATTAGAGTAGAGATCAATGAGATAGAAACTAGAGATACAGTAGAATTCATCAATGAAACTAGAAGCTTGTTTTTTTTTGAAAGAGTCAATAAGATTGATAAACCATTGGTCTAATGAATCCTAAAGAAAAGAGAGAAGACCCAAATTAATAAAATTATGAATGAAAAGGGAGAGATCACGACTAACGCCAAGGAAATAGAAACAATCATCAGAAATTATTATCAACAGTTACATGCCAGTAAGTTAAGCAACCTAGATGAAATGGATGCATTCCTGGAAACCTATAAACTTCCAAAACTGAATCAGGAAGAAATTGACAACATGAATAGACCAATATCTCGTAACGAGATTGAAGCGGTGATCAAAAACCTCCCAAAAAATCAAAAAGAGCCCAGGACCTGATGGATTCCCTGGGGATTTCTACCAAACTTTCAAAGAAAAAACAATACCTATTTTTCCTGAAACTTTTTCAAAAAATAGAAACAGAAGGAAATCTTCCAGACTCTTTTTATGAAGCCAGCATTACCCTGATCCCCAATCCAGGCAAAGACCCTACCAAAAAGGAGAATTTCAGACCAATATCCCTGATGAACATGGATGCCAAGATTCTCAAGAAGATCCTAGCTAATAGGATCCAACAGCACATTAAAAAGATTATCCACTATGACCAGGCAGGATTCATCCCTGGGTTACAAGGGTGGTTCAACATTCGCAAATCAATCAGTGTGATAGAACAAATCAGTAAGAGAAGAGAGAAGAATCACATGGTCATCTCAATTGATGCAGAAAAAAGCATTTGACAAGATACAGCATCTGTTCCTGATTAAAACTCTTCAAAATATAGGGATAGAGGGAACATTCCTGAACTTCATAAAATCTATCTATGAAAAACCACAACAAATATCATCCTCAATGGGGAAAAGCTGACAGCCTTCTTGTTGAGATCAGGAACACGACAAGGATGCCCACTCTTGCCACTCTTGTTCAACATAGTATTCGAAGTCCTAGCAACAGCAATCAGACAGCAAAGAGAAATAAAAGGTATTCATATTGGCAATGAAGAAGTCAAACTCTCTTCACAGATGACATGATACTTTATATGGAAAACCCAAAAGACCACCCCCAAACTACATAGAGCTCATACAGCAATTCCGTAATGTGGCAGAATACAAAGTCAATGTACAGAAATCAGTGGCTTTCTTATACACTAACAATGAAAATACAGAAAGGGAAATTAGAGAATCAATTCCATTTACTATAGCACCAAGAACCATAAGATACCTAGGAATAAACCTAACCAAAGAGGTAAAGGATCTATACTCGAGGAACTACAGAACACTCATGAAAGAAGTTGAAGACACAAAAAGAAGAGCATTTCATGCTCACGGATCGGAAGAATAAACAATGTTAAAATGTCTACACTGCCCAGAGCAGTCTATACTTTCAAGGCCATTCTGATCAAAATTCCACAGGCATTTTTCAAAGAGCTGGAACAAGCAACTTAAAATTTGTGTGGAATCAGAAGAGACCCCAAATTGCTAAGGAAGTGTTGAAAAAGAAAAAACTGGGGGCAACATAATGCCTGATTTCAAGCTTTACTACAAAGCTTTGATCACCAAGACAGCATGGTACTGGCACAAAAACAGACACATAGACCAGTGGAATAGAGTAGAGAGCCCAGATATGGACCCTCAACTCTATGGTCAAATAATCTTTGACAAAGCAGGAAAAAATATACCGTGGAGAAAAGACAGTCTCTTCAATAAATCGTGCTGGGAAAATTGGACAACCATGTTTAGAAGAATGAAACTTGATCATTCTCTTAGACCACACACAAAGATAAACTCGAAATGGATGAAAGACCTCAACGTGAGGCAGGAATCCATCAGAATCCTAGAGGAGAACACAGGTAGTAACCTCTTTGACATCAGCCACAGCAACTTCTTTCAAGATATGTCTCCAAAGGCAAAGAAAACAAAAGCGAAAATGAACTTTTGGGACTTCATCAAGATCCAAAGCTTCTGCACAGCAAAGGAAACAGTCAAGAAAACAGAGGCAACCCACTGGATGGGAGAAGATATTTGCAAATGACAATACAGACAAAGGGCTGATATCCAAGATCTATAAAGAACTCCTCAAACTCAGCACTCAAAAAACAGATAATCATGTCAAAAAATGGGCAGAACACATGAACAGGTACTTCTCCAAAGAAGACATACGAATGACTAACAAACACATGAAAAAATGTTCATCATTAGCCATCAGGGAGATTCAAATCAAAACCACATAGAGATTCCACCTTACACCAGTTAGAATGGCCAAAATCGACAAGATCATAAACAACATGTGTTGGAGAGGATGTGGAGAAAGGGGAACCCTTTTACACTGCTGGTGGGAATGCAAGTCGGTGCAGCCAATTTGGAGAACAGTGTGGAGATTCCTTCAGAAATTAAAAATAGAGCTACCCTATGACCCGGCAATTGCATTATTGGGTGTTCACCCCAAAGATACAGATGGAGTGAAAATAAGGACTATCTGTACCCCAATGTTCATAGCAGCAATGGCCACGGTCGCCAAACTGTGGAAAGAGCCAAGATACCCTTCAACAGACGAATGGATAAAGAAGATGTGGTCCATATACACTATGGAGTATTATGCCTCCATCAGAAAGGATGAAACCCAACTTTTGTATCAACATGGATGGGTCTGGAGGAGATTTTGCTGATTGAAATAAGTCAAGCAGAGAGAGTCAAGTCTCATATGGTTTCACTTACTTGTGGGGCATAAGGAATAACACGGAGGACATGGGAGATGGAGAGGAGAAGTGAGTTGGGGGAAATCGGAGGGAGAGACAAGCCATGAGAGACTGTGGACTCTGAGAAACAAACTGAAGGTTTTGGAAGGGAGGGGAGTGTTGGTTGGGTGAGCCTGCTGGTGGGTATTGTGGAGGGCACGGATTGCATGGAGCACAGTGTGGTGCATGAACAATGAATTTGGAACACTGAAAAGAAAATAAAATGGGGAAAAAAGAAAGAACGCCAGTGTTGACACCCAGTGTCTATACCGGTCATTTATTCTCTGCATGTGCTGCTTCCCCAGCCTGAATATGAAGGTTCCTGACATTTGTGGCAGCTGTGAAATGTCCCGTAGGTGGCGATGAACTGCACAATGTGACCGCAGCTGTGCCAGGGGTTCTCAAAGCGGGTCCCAGGGCAACAATGGCCCACTTCAGGAATTATTAGGAGCTTCTACACTTCTGACCTCTCTGGGATGCACATGATATCTGTTCGTAGACTTTATTTCAGAAACCACCATTTAGCCGACAACAGGATCATCTGGAGGTTCTAAATTTGAAGGGCTCATTTGTACATCAAAATAGGTTTATTATTATTTTTTTCATGGAAAAAGGAATCTTTTAGAAGTCTTGCTTCTGCTACAATGTGGCATTTCTCTTTATTGCCAGTAGACTCCACAAAATACTTGTTTGCACATTTTGTTACTTAAAAATTCAAGTGGATCTCTCACCTCTTACATCACTTCAGAATGGTATCCAGTCCCAGACTTCATCCGTAAAATGGAGTGTCTGATGGCATCTACGTGTGTATTTACACACATACATATCTTTTCACATAGTAATACAACTAGAGAGGAGTGTACATTTTTACCTTTAATTTTATCAGGATCCACACAAAAAGTTCAAAATACTTGAATTGCTCAAATTCCAGACTAATTAGCCAGAAGCAAAGAGTAGAAGGTTTTGTCAAGTTTATGGGAAAGGACAGCAAAACCCCACTTTGGGATTGCAGGCAAGGTTGGACTGTGGAGGCTTGAGGGGCTGTGGGTCCATTAATCCACTGGGGACCCGACCAGGCGATGAGGGGAAGGCATGCATTGTGGGGTCACTGGTCTGTCCGGGGACCTGTGATCGCAATGTCACCCAGCCACGGGGGTGCTGCCACCATGCGCCTTCCCGACCATTGGCCCTTTCAGCATGGAATCCTGTGTGTTTGTCTTGCAGGTGTACATATATGACGTGGGCTTGAGCACGTTTTCTCACAGACTGGCTGGACACATGGACACCGTCACTGGCGTGGCCTTCAGCCCGTCAGTCCCACAGGTATGTCTGCTCGTCCACGCCGTATGAGGCTTTCCTCGCATTTTCTGTATCTGCTGGCCTTTGTTTGGGTGAAATCCTGTCACATGTAGGGTGACGTGCCCATTTTCATTGCGTGCAGGAAGACCGGCACGTGCATCATCGTTGGGCGCACTTGCTCGTGACTGCAGAGGACATGGGTGTGTCCGTGGGCACTCGTGTGAACACTGTCGTTGGCGGCCCCAGAGCAGCTGAGAAAAGGGTGTAGAGAATTCAGGTGGAGGAGGAGGACCACAGAATTTAAAGACATTCGTGGAGTTAGGAGAAATGATGGGAAGAGAGTGGCGTGAGCTGCGGGTCAGTCACACGGGAGTGTGTGGTCCTGCATTAAAATCCTAACTTCACGTTAGGATTCACGTTGAGGTGTGGTGAATATTTGGGGACGTCGATTCAGAGGATAGCATTACTGTGTGATTGGGTCACCTGGCGGCGTGTGCACAGGTCCACGCGAGAAAGAAGTGGGACTGCCCTTCCCTCTCCCTTGCCCCCCCAACCCCCGCTCTGCCCACCGCTTCCGTCAGAGGCACCTTAGACACCTGGGCACATCTGGATTTCACTGACAGTGATGTCAGAGGCACGGATGCAACAGGCTGGCCACGTCACTGACCACAGAGCCCCTGTCCTTGCCACGGAGGTCCTCACATGGCTCGTCCTGGCATCAACCATGACGTAACCGTGTGGTGCACTGCTGGGGAGTGTTCAGGTTCAAGTGTTCTCTGCACGTGTCAGGATACAAGGCCGTGCTGTGCCGACCACGGGGGCCCGCTTTTCTGATGGGTCACACGTGTTGTTGTTAGCTGTCGGAGCGCTTGGGTTGGTGCTTGAATCCTCTGACTGACCTGGCACTGGGCAGGTGAGCGAAGGTCCGGGAGGGAAGGGGCTCAGACAGTAGCTGGGGTGAGAGGTCAGTGAGGCATGTGGCAGAGGGCAGGGTGCGGGGACCCGCAGGCAGGGGGTGATGTCAGTGGTCCTGAAAATTCAGTATTGGCATAAAAATGTCTGCATAACGGAATGAGAAGCTGCTCTGAACACCTCACCGTTTCCCCGCACAGTTAACGGAAGCACGGGAGGCGAGAGGAGCAGGCTGTCCCCTGAGTGCTGATTCCTGACGCGGCGGGAGGGGAGGTCGGTGCCCAAGCTGGTTTTCTGGCACTTCATGTCGGGGAACTGGGTGGGCACACGGAACATGAATGAGCATTTTCAAACGTTAACGTGCGACACCGCAATTCACTTTATACAATTGCCGTTGAGTTTCCGGAATGGTGATACAGCCACCCAGCGCTCATTATCTTTGCACATGTGAGTTTGTTACAAAGAGCCTCATTGTTCAAAAGTTTTGCATTTTGTCTGATCACAGTTCTCAGAAAGATCTCTGTGAATGCTCTTCAACAGTGTCCTCAAGATGTTGAAAAGTCTCTGTTTTTTAGTGTATTTGTTTGATTTTAAGATACACATTATCCCTTCACTAACATTTCCAAAACTAAAGCAAAACTCAGACTCCTGCTTCCTCTCAAGTGCATGTCCTTCTATTTACAAACTTGCTGGTATCCACCGACCGAAGTACCCGACGCAGCTTCTGTTCTAACATATCGGTTAAATGGTGCATCAAAACCACAATTTGATGTTTTTATTTGTCAAAAAAGACTCCTCTGAGCTCTAATCACATCAACATTCAACTTTTAACGTATTAACATGTTAGCATTTCAAGCACATGCGTAGGCGCAGAGATGCCCGAGCATGGTCGGAAGGCGGGGGTTCGAGTCTGCAGGCCGGGGAGCCCCAGTCAGCGGGGAGGGTGGGTCTGTGCCTCTGGGCGAGGGTGCCTCCTCCGTGTCCTGTCGGGCAGGACGGTGGGACTTGTGCGGCATGCTGCGTTCCTGGTGGGTACCTGTAATCATCCTCGCTCCTCACAAGAGGAGAGGAAAGAAACACCACCCCAGGTACGTGACGGGGGACACCACATGTCTGGGTTGGTGGCATGGGTGCGGTGGGGCCTGACAGCCCTGAACCCCGCAGACCACAGCAGCTCACGTGGCTGCCTTCCCTCCACCCACTGCCTCACCTTCCTACATTTCTCCGTCGCTCGAATGCTGGGTGACTACCCTCGACTTGAATCATGCTTGTGCTGATCAGCCATTTATTAACCTTTAAGCTTTTTCTCCTGGATGTGTGGTTAGTCCCTGCCCTCCACAGTGGCTGCTAGTGCTGGGTCATGCTGGGGACGGTGCTGGACCTGCAGGTCCAGGGAGGAAACCCAGATGTGCCTGCACGGCCTAGGGCTGGGCGCCATGACCCCAGCGTCATGAGCTCGTTAGGGCAGGGATCACGAAAGCCCTGCAGAGTCTGCTCTGGTGTGTCTGTGCCGCATCTGGGAACTTAATTTAAGGGCCTTGTCCCAAGTGGCCGGATAGTACAGAGGAGGATGCAGACCTTATGCCAGGGACTCAGCATGACTCTTGGAAAGGCAGGAGATGGATTGCTTGACTAGGTTTTTGTTAAATACATTTAATTATGAGAAATATTATTCTCTCAAAATTAAAGTTTGGTTCTCTCAGAATACTGCTAGATATGGTTCAGGAAGTTGTGTTTTTCACCAGTGCTGTTGCTCAGTTATCAAAATAAGACTGGTGTGTCTTTTGGAAGAAGATTGTACTTGTACTGATGAAATTATTCTCACAAAGCGTGTGGCTAAGAGAGGACTCCGAAAATGAGCAGGAACCCTGGCAGCTCACAGGGAGCGTGGGCTCAGGCCCCAGAGACTGTGGCAGCATCTCACATCCTGCTGGGAAGGGCAGCCGAGTCCCCACGGCCCATGCTTGTCTCGAAGGCTGTGCCGTCAGCTTGTGGTCACTGTGCACACAGAGGCCACTGGTGTACTTGTCCTAAGACACATCCATTCAGATATTGAGCTGTTTAGGGTGGGAACGTACATCCATCCCCAGTGATGTCCCTGGCTGGGACTGTGGCTGAGGGGTATGAGGAATCCAAACTCGGTGCTACAGAAGAGAGAGGACAGGCGTGTGAGCTGATGGTTTCTGATTGGAAGGGACGGGGCCACCAGTGACATGGGAAGTTCAGGAAGAAATATAGGGAAACTGTGGTTTAGCCGTGGCAGAAAGCTGCTCCGTGTGCAGACAAGTAGGTGGAATTTGTTGGAGTGTGTGACCAGAAGTGACAGATGTGTGACCAGAAGTCACAGATGTGCTTGTCATCATGTTACCAACCTTACTGTGTCAGTGCTGTACTCGTCAGCTTCCCCTTGTGTCCGGCATGAGATTGTAAGAGCACTGATGTAAGAGAATATGAAAGCTCTGTTTTTGGTCTGTAAGTCATACATTTATCAATCTGTTTATTTAATTATTGTGTTACGTTAGTCACCATAAAATACATCATTACTTTTTGATGCAGTGATCCAAGATTCATTGTTTATGCACCACACCCAGTGCTTCATGCAGTCTGTGCCCTCCTTAATGCCCACCACCAGACTCACCCAACCCCCCCATCCCCCTCCCCTCCAAAACCCTCAGTTTGTTTCTCAGAGTCCATAGTCTCTCATGGTTCATCTCCCCCTCCCATTTCCCCCAACTCCCTTCTCCTCTCCATCTCCCCATGTCTTCTGTGTTATTCCTTATGCTCCACAGTAAGTGAAACCATATGATAACTGACTCTCTCTACTTGACTTATTTCACTCAGCATAATCTCCTCCAGTCCCATCCATGTTGCTACAAAAGTTGGGTATTCATCCTTTCTGATGGAGGCATCATACTCCATAGTGTATATGGACCACATCTTCCTTATCCATTCGTCCGTTGAAGGGCATCTTGGTTCTTTCCACAGTTTGGCGACCGTGGCCATTGCTGCTATGAACATTGGGGTGCAGATGGCCCTTCTTTTCATTACATCTATATCTTTGGGGAAACAAAAGCAAAAATGAACTTTTTGGACTTCATCAAGATCAAAAGTTTCTGCTCAAGTGCCCATCAACATAATGCAGATAGATCGTTACATACTTAAAATGTTATATATAACTTCATGCTAACCTCAAATCAAACTTATAACAGATACACAAAAAATAAAAAGAAAAAATCAAGCATACTACTAAAGAAGGTAATCAATCACAAGCAAAAAGAGCAAAAGAAGAAAGGAAAAGAATACAAAAACAATGAGGAAACAATTAACAATAAGGCAATATCTGTGTACAAACCTGTGTATCTCGTGTATCTCCTTTGTGCTTTTAACTTGGATTAAAAAATGAAAATTGTTTGTATTTTCATATGACTCAGTATGATCAGTGATCACAGTTGAACCTCTGTTTGTGTATCAGTCCGAATAGACTGAGCCTCCCAGTGGTGATATTAATGATAGTAAATATTTACAGTGTGTTTCAGAAAATCAACCAAGTAGGAATAGGTTTATTTTGTGGGAACAGGGACATCTTCTGAGAGTTCCAACTGCCACAGAGAGGAGGTTCTTTCAAGACCTAGCCTTTGTACTCAAAAGTATCAATCAGTTCATAAAAATAAAAGGAAAATGGAAAATAATAGCATAGTAATGCCCACTTGGAAAAAAGAAAGCATATATATCATCATGAAGTTAGGGGAAAAAGTTCAAAGCTCTGGACCTAACTTGAGGGAATCTTGATTTCCCTATGACTTCTGACTTTGTGACTGATCTTTCCCCATATGGTCCAAAATTTCTTCTCTACTTCCTTCATTATAGCTGATGGCTTAGCAAATGTAAGAATAGAGCATATTCATATGAACAGAATTAATGTTAAAGTTAATGGTGAGAAAAAGAGCAAAAAATTAGAAATTACAGCATAAGAAATTTTATCTCCAAGTAATCATGTAGGGATATCAAGTAAGTTCGTCTTTTTTGCCTTTGCATTAATAATTTATTAGATGTCACTTTTTATTTGATATTAGTTTTGAGACCAAATAAACTTTTTTTTGGCAAAAAAAAAA